GCCAGGGGGCGGGGCCGCCCCTTGATTGGGCTGGTTGGCCAGCCGCAGTGCACGACATAGCGACCAGTCGCTCCGGCATTCCGTTCGCTGGGCATTTATATATATAGATATTATTAAAGATGCTGTCAACGCCATTTTTTTTCAGATACATGTTTTTTTTCATTAACAACACTAAGGAAAAAACATGCCGAGAACTAAAATGAATTTATTCAAAATTCATTGAGATTCAACAGGAACATCCAACATAGGTTTTGGAAATCATTTCTTAAAGATAAATCATTAAAGACCTGAAACCTCACCAAATGGCTGCAAAGAAACTGGGATGGTGCCGCCATCGTGTCCATGTCTGAGCAACCAACCGCAGGGTTTACACGTAGAGAAAGATGGGCCCACGCAGTTATGTGACCCAAAAGTAACAAATATGTTGTTGCTATACTTTAGATCAAATATAATTTTAGCAGCTATTCTCTTAAGTGGGAAGGCTTGGGCACACACAGAATCTCCCAATAACAGGGTTTCCATCTTTGTTTTTTAATTCTAAGGGTTTTCCCCAAACTTTGAGTCTTCTGAGATCACAAGGCCCGGGGATGGCTTCGGTCGGGATGCTCTGAAGCTATTCTTAGGGTTGCTGGCTGGCACCGAGAGGCAGACGTAAAAGGCGTCTATGGTTGGGCTGCTCGGGCTCCCTTATTGCTCTCTGAGGCAGATTAGATAATGGGCACGGCGTCCTGGAAAGCAGCTCAGGGCACTAACTGAAGGGAAGACGGGGAAGCCACAGTAAAAACAGGCTCCACTAACAGCAGAATGAAAGCCGCTCGGCCCGTCTGCTCCAACACTGCCCGAGGCAGACGTGGAGCGTAGCTTCTCTAAATACCCCGTTTCACACTGTCATGTAAGTGGGAGAATCCATCATTCCCTTGAAAAGAAACTCTCAACACGGAACAGTCCACAAGAGGGGCCTGGCTGGTAACATCCCCTTCGTACACAAAGGACATCGGTAGACGTGTGGTTCTTGCTCTTAAACCTCCTCGTGATCATGCTAATAAGCGGAAACTCTTGCCCATGTTTTTACTCCGGTTCTGTCTGCTCCTCTGATTTTACAAGAATGCAAAAGCCATCCAGGAATCTAAAAACCCTCCCCATTTTCCTATTTGTAAGACAAGCAAGGAAGTCTGGACAACTGTGCTACCTGAAACGACTTTCCTCTAAGACAGCGGTTCTCAACCTGTGGGTCGCGACCCCTTTGGGGGTCGAACGACCCTTTCACAGGGGTCGCCTAAGACCATCGGAAAACACATATATAATTACAGATTGTTTTTGTGATGAATCACTATGCTTTAATTATGTTCAATTTGTAACAATGAAAATACACCCTGCATATCAGATATTTACATGACGATTCATAACAGTAGCAAAATTACAGTTATGAAGTAGCAACGAAAATAATTTTATGGTTGGGGGTCACCACAACATGAGGAACTATATTAAAGGGTCGCGGCATTAGGAAGGTTGAGAACCACTGCTCTAAGATCTGGGGGTGAAATAGATCATCAACTTTACTTTTTATGAGAGAACTGGGAAAAGTAGTCGATGATTATTCTTTGATGAAATAAGTGTGCAAATTTAGTCAGTGGCCTGGGTAAATGTGTTTACACCGGAGCTATAATTTTTTTAAAAATAAATCCTCAATCGAGGATATTTTTTCCATTGATTTTTAGAAAGAGTGGGAGGGGGAGAGACAGAGAGAAACACTGATGTGAGAGAGACACAGATTGGTTGCCTCCCACATGCCCCCGACCAGGGCCGGGAGTCTGCAACCGAGGCACATGCCCTTGACAGGAATCGAACCTGGGACCCCTCAGTCCACAGGCCAATGCTCTATCCAAACCAGCTAGGGCAGAGCTACAATTCCTTAAACGCTTTAGTGTGAGATAACTAAGTTGGTGGATAAAACAGTAAGAATAAAAAGATGTCGTCCGCCCCTGCGCACCCCCCCACACACACACACACACTCATAACAGTAGCAAAGGCACGCCAATGGACTCTCCTTACAATATGTGCTAACCCTTCCCTGGCTCCTGTCACAAAGCTGCTGACACCTGTGAGTGACCATCCAATACCAACGCAGGTAACAGGTGCTTCATACATAAATATGTTTGAGTGGCAAGTCAATGAGTGACTCTCAGAGGCCACACAGGCCGCAGAAACTGGACTTCTCAGCCCTGCCTCACCGTCGCTGGGGTCTCCCAGGAGTCTCTTCGACGCCCACGGAAGCAGAGGTGTTTCATGCCACCTGCTGCCAGGACCCTAGCTGTTTGGGGACATTTGAATGGCCTAGAACAGCTGTGGGCAAACTACGGCCCGCGGGCCGGATCCAGCCCGTTTGAAATGAATAAAACTAAAAAAAAAAAAGACCGTACCCTTTTATGTAATGATGTTTACTTTGAATTTATATTAGTTCACACAAACACTCCATCCATGCTTTTGTTCCGGCCCTCCGGTCCAGTTTAAGAACCCATTGTGGCCCTCGAGTCAAAAAGTTTGCCCACCCCTGGCCTAGAACCATTAGAAATAATGATGGTGAACGTGAAGTGTTTTTCATTAATAACATTGCAGCAGCTCTAGCAGGAACTCTGCTGTTTTACACAGATTATCCCTTTATTCCTCCCAGTAACAGGGACTATTTTTTCCTTCATTTTCCAACAAGGAAACTAAGGTACAGAGAGATCAAAGCCAACAGACAACAGGGCAGTGGAGCAGTAGTTCAACCCACAGTGTCCAGTTTTAGGACTTCGGTGCTCAGGTCACTGTGAAGGTCAGAACAACACAGCCTTCTGCTCAGAAAGGTTTTGTCGGTGATGTCCAACATGCCCAACCATCTATTCGTTTAAAAAACTGTATATTCTTACCACCTTCTTCCCCTCCTCCCCCTAAGAGCTCACAGCATACATACTACCAAGTTTTCATCTGCCCCCAAATAACTCTTCCTAATATGCAGCCTTGGTATGTGATTCCGCAACATGAATTTCAAGAGTGTTCATTCTTGGCCTGCAAACATGCTCGACTGCAACACAGGGCTCTGCGAGCGAGAGAAAACGCCCCTTCCCGAGCTGACAGTGGCTCTTTGTAAAGTTCCGCGTGGCTTGGGCGACGTCACATCACCATGGCTGGGAGGCGCGCAAACTGCCAAGTGCTGGCGAACGGGAATGTTTTGTTTTGTTGCTGTGTTGGCACTGGCCTGTGCCCCCTGAACCATCTATAACTATCCCTGAGCGCCCCACACGGAGTCCACTGTGGCAGACCCTCGCCACCGACGGACCAGACTAACAGCCCAGCCGGCTCGGTGCACCTGAGTGCTGGGGCAGAGACAGCCTCTGAAGGTCAACCCGGTGAAAACCGTAAGAGGCCGATTCTCCCTAAAAACAACCAACCAACCAACCACCCAAAAGGCCCCCTGGGCAGGCAGAGAAGGAGTCTGTGTGACTCAGGCGACCGCAGCTGCTGGGACAGGCAAACCTTGGGACCCAGCGGTTTCAGGCCTTAGATCAGCAGTTCTCAACCTGTGGGTCGCGACCCCTTTGGGGGTCGAACGACCCTTTCACAGGGGTCGCCTAAGACCATCGGAAAACACATATATAATTACATATTGTTTTTGTGATGAATCACTATGCTTTAATTATGTTCAATTTGTAACAATGAAAATACATCCTGCATATCAGATATTTACATTACGATTCATAACAGTAGCAAAATTACAGTTATGAAGTAGCAACAAAAATAACTTTATGGTTGGGTGTCACCACAACATGAGGAACTGTATTAAAGGGTCGCAGCATTAAGAAGGTTGAGAACCACTGCACTATAACCTCTGAGCCTCAGTTTCTTCGTCTGTAAAGTGGGAGGGGGTAGAGTAACAGTGTCTATCTGTGCCCAGTGCCTGAAACACCTGACTGATAGGAGGAGCTCAACAAATAGTCACCTGGAAGGTGACCTGGAGTGAATACAGACTTAGACCAAGATTTTCTTGAACATTGTAAACTTAATTCATTTTAATCTCTGCATGCCCCGTGACCCTAGCACAGGACCGGCACAGGACTGGTGCGGGAGAGCACTTGCTGGGAGAGTTGGAAGCAGCCATGGATGGGCAAGTGGGCACAAAGATGTGTGCACGGGTGGGTGGATGGACAGGCATGTAGCTGGATCAATGATGGATGGAGAAGTCGGACATCTGGGTGTATAAATGTGTGCTAAGTGGGGGGAGTGGAGGGATGGTGGGTGGGTGGGGTGAGGGTAGAAGAAATAAATACGGGACACGCCCTCATTGTGATCTGTCTGCTGGAGGGCTTCAAGATGGAGTGAACCCAGAAAGCACGTATCAGCAGGCCAAGGCCCACGTGAGGCAGCAGCTCTGCCTTTACGAGTGTGTTCTCCAGGCTAACCCACACGGGGATGGTGTGGCCAGGACACAGGTGACCTGCACCACTGTGTGCAGTAATGACATGTGGAGGCGGCTTCGACTTTATCACTCCGAGCAGGAGGGAGGCCTGGACTAGGGCCTCACACCTTAGAACAGCACCTGGTGGGGGCAGGCGATTCGTCCGTACCTTGGAATTCTGTGTGGCCATTAAAAATGGAACGGCTCTTTATGTCTTGAGTGGAATAAACTCTGATATATCATTAAGAGGGGGGGAAAAATCAAGGTTCAGCTAGTGTGTGTACAGTGCTTTCGTTTTCTGGTTTTTAAGGGGTGGCAGGGAGAAGACACGTAGATATTTGCTTCTCCAAGATGAGCGCCCCCCCCACCCCCCGCCGCCAGGAGACTGGTGACTGGTCCTCCCAGGAAGGGCGCCGGGCCTGGGGAATGGCCAGCACTTCACCGGATCCCCTTGTGGACTTTCTCAGTCATGACCCAGGCAGATAAGTTGTCTTGTCAAGCACAGACTGAGCAGCGTGGAGTGCGTAGCAGAGCTCCTTGGAGGAGGAGCAACCTTGGTCCCCGGGCTGGCGCTCACGCTGGGGCCAGAGCCCAGGCATGGAAGCGGACAGGCATATGGGCCCAGTCCAAACACCTAGTCGCCGTGGGGACTTGGCAGGTCCTCATCTGTGAAATGGAGATAATTGTAGTCTTAGAGAGTGAGCATGAGAAGTAAAGTGAGCCAGGTTCTCAACCTGTGGGTCGCGACCCCTTTGGGGGTCGAACGACCCTTTCACAGGGGTCGCCTAAGACCATCGGAAAACACATATATAATTACATATTGTTTTTGTGATGAATCACTGTGCTTTCATGATGTTCAATTTGTAACAATGAAATTGGGGGTCACCACAACATGAGGAACTGTATTAAAGGGCCGCGGCATTAGGAAGGTTGAGAACCGCTGCCTTAGATGTTTCCTTGTCTTGCTCACCATGTCTAAGGGGCAAGGGGCAGGCGGGGGGCAGCTCTGCTCCTACAGCCACTCAGGGGCCAGGCTGCGGGCTCACCATTCTCGGCACCGGGTTACCTGGGCACCGATCTCCAGCCGGCTGGGGGAGTGGGGGGTGGGGGGGATGGCGCATGGGGGCTTTCACGGGCTGCAGTTAGAAGCGACACCTCATTTCTGCTCACACTCCATTTCACACAAAGAGCTGAACCTCTTGATCCGCATGATTTTGGGGGGTGGTTTCTGGGTCAAGTGGATTTTGTGGGGGCTTGAGAGAGAGGTCACCTCAGGCCACTCACGGACGAGCTCACGGCGAGTGGTCCATCTTGGACCTCATGACGAGATGTTATGCTGATGGGGCTGCGCCTGCGCCCTCAGGGGCCACGACCACAGCCATCTCCAGCGAATGAGACTGCGTAATCGGGGACTGCTCAGTACAACTACTGGCTCAGGCGCCTGGGCCGCCCCAGAAGACCTCACGCCCACGACCTTACCCCGAACCTCTCTTCACTCGTCAGGCCAACCACCGAATGGCCTGGCCCAGCTGCTGCTGGGGGTTCTCGGGGCATCATCTGGGAACGTGAGCTAACGGGCAGCGAGCTGAGAGCAGGCACCTGTGCTCGGTGCTCCTGACCCACAAGGAAAGAGCCTTCGAGGCAGGTCCCCAGGATCTGCTGAAGGAGGAGTGAGTGAGGCACCTGCAGAGCCAGGCCAGCAGACTGAGCAGAGGCCTGCAGGGAGCAGCAGCCTGGCCGGCGTTAGTTACCGATCACTGGAGGTGGAAAAATGACTGAAGCTGGCCGGCGTTAGTTACCGATCACTGGAGGTGGAAAATGAAGCTGTAAAGCAGGGGTCCTCAAACGACGGCCCGCGGGCCACATGGAAATACAAATATTGTATTTGTTCCCGTTTTGTTTTTTTACTTCAAAATAAGATATGTGCAGTGTGCATAGGAATTTGTTCATAGTTTTTTTTTAAGCTATAGTCCAGCCCTCCAGCGGTCTGAGGACAGTGAACTGGCCCCCTGTTTAAAAGTAAGTATGACAGCTTTTTCATTACGCGTAGCTGACCCACAAAAACAAAACACCAGAATCTCTACACGACAGATCCATTTAATGTAAAGAACATGCCGGATGTCCACGCCCAGCGATTGTACACAGGAGTCTATTCTCAGCTCCTCTTCCTGTGTTTAATCGCCAGGGCGTGGGCCGAGTCCGGCCCTTTCTGGCTCCACACACACGGGCAGCGTTCGGATAACTGAAGGGCCACGGAGGCCACCTCTTCCTTAGCAACCACCTCAAATCAGACAAAACAGCAGCGCCGCCCTTCCTCTGCGAGGCCACCCGCCGGCAAGCACGGTCCAGGCGTTCTCCAGGTAGGAGATGTAGATGTAGCGCGCTGTGTTGCAGGCCAGGCCGATGTACAGAACCCTGGGGACACAGAGGAGAGTGAGCCGGGCCCGGGTGTAGGATACAGAACATGCAGGCATCGCTTCTATTTTCCCTGCCCAACACCCATCACCCAGACAGCCTTCCGGGCTTGGGGGGGGCGGTTCTCGGGAGTAAGAGGGTCGCTTCTGACATATCTGCCCTGGCCTCTCCCACGCTGGTCAGTATAAAGGTGAACATCCCTTCCTGAGCTCCATCAGTGCAGGACGAGGGCCCTGTAAGTGGGTCCGGGCACCCCGCCATCTGCAGTGATGGCCAGCTTCCTTCCGGGGCTGGAGGGGACACCCGCCTGGGAGGAGCGACCCCCCCCCACGAGGGGAGGGACAGGATGGGAAGGAGAGCGTGACTGGACGTGGCCTCACTGGCAATCCCCGAGACACCAAGCCGTCTCACAAGGACACTCCCAAGGTCACCCAAGCCACCAGCCAATGATGGAGAATAACCTTTGGAAATCAAATACTTTTTCCTCTCAGTTCCCTGTTTATGTTTTTAAAGCATGAGGTCATGTGCTGCCCTCCCCCTCGCAAACAGCACCACCAAACCACGACTGAAAACAAAATAGGCAAAGCCACAGCGGTGTGTGTCCAAGGATCTAAGGTCACACGCGCGCTCTCTGAGCGGGGCGGGCCGCTGCTCTGTACAAAACAGCCTGATGGTGGAGATCGCTCTCCTGTTGCTTCCCAGTTCCCGTGGGCTTTCCTAGCCTCAGTGCTTTCCTTGTTTTCTAGATTCAGGTGGGTGAAAGCTAGAAGGTAAAAGAAAGAAACCAATATGACAGTCACTGGTATTTTCCTCATCTCTAGCGCTCAACTACATTTTTATGTTGCAATCATTCCTATAAATATTGCCCTGTTTCAAACACTGGATCAGGGGGAGGAGATGCTTCAGGCTCTGCTGGTGTTAACTGCAGATCTGGGACAGGCGGGTGGGAGAAAGGAAACAAAAAAAAGAAAGAGAAAGGTTGAGGGGTGGGGATGGGATAGGAAGCGGGTACGGGACTGAGGTCTCGGTATTGGAAAGGTCTGGGTTATAGTCTGTAGACATGATGTTCTTTGTACTTGTATGTTTTGAGGGAAAAGTGTATGTCTGAGTCCTCTCTGATAAAACATCTGCTCAACAAACTTGCTAATGATCCATCAACCAGGGTCCCTCCAGGACACAAACAAGCAAAAAAGCCCACGGGAAATTCAATGCAAAATACGCCACACAAGTTACACACGCCCATGTCTCCTTCTTACGCCCTACGCCGGCCCTATGGAGGAGCCCGACTTAGCCTGACTCGGACAGCAAACAGTCCCACGCGGGCCACGCAGCCAGCAGGCCACGCAGCCAGCAGGCCAGGGCTCTGGGCCTCCTCGACCACGCGGCTCTGTTGGGTGTGAAAGCAGCCGCAGACACTAAGTCAGTGAACAACCTCGCTGGCTGTGTGTCAACAAAACCTGAATGACAAACACCGACATGTAAACCTCACCTGACTTTCACGTCACAAAATATTCTCCTCGTGACTTTTTTCAACCCCTTAAAAGTACAGAGACCATTGTGGTTCCTGGGCCGGGCCATTCAGAGACAGACAGAGGCCCGACGTACCCATGGCTGCGGCTTGCCAGCCCTGGCCTGGCTCGTCCGTTCTCCTTGGCTGTTGGTCGGATTTGCTCAGTAACTGTTAGAGCTACAGGGTCGAGGCCCTGGCACTTTCAGCGACGACCTCTGGGCCCCGGGCACCGAGCTTCGGAAAGCTCCGAGATGGGCCGGTGCCCGGCGGGGGGACGACCACGGGGTCGCCATCCCAGGCAGCTCGCAGTAATACTTTCCTATATTCCCAGCATAAAAAACTGCTAACACACCTTCCTTGTGTCCGCATCGCCTCTCCCCACCGTCCTTCTAGGCCCAATCCTGCGTCAGGGTTACCACGACCACCGCTGTTCAGTGCAGCCCAAAGGCCCCGGCCTAGAGCAGCCGAGCCCGCCAGCCAGGCTTAGAGACAGACTGGGGTTCGCCTCCAGGCCCTGCCGCGTGCACTTCAGCCGCTGGACCCTGACTGCTGGGCCCTCGGGGCCTCCAGGGGCCACTACCAAGCCCACGGCTCCGAGTCGATGTGGCCTTCACTCCGTCCCACGTCCTGATGGCGGCTGCAGCCCTTCAGGACCCACGCGCCTTAGGGAGCAGACGCCCAGTAAGGAGTGTCCAGCTCCTCCCTCCCTCTCTCTGAGCCGCCGTTTCTCATGTCGAGGAGGGGCGGTGTCTACTCTGCCGGCTCGTTCAGATCACCGCCGCCCAGGGAGTTGCCCCAGATGAGCACTCAATACATGGCAGCCTCGTCTTGTTGTTGTTATTATTTTAAAGAAGAGTAACCAAGGACCCTCTTGTTTCCTGGAAACATTTTATTCCAGAATTTCAAAACAGAGAGGAGTCCTCGCTTTCCTTCCTCGCCAGCCGTCCTGGGGCAGTGACTCAGAAAGTCGGCCAGATGGGACCGTGAGCGGGGAGGGAGGCAGCGTTCTGCCCTGTGACGAGGGAAAGGCGTGGACGTGCATTTATTGAGCGGCCACTGAAAAGTATCGCAGCAACCTCCGAATCTCTAATATCTGAGCGGAGTATTTAAACCGCCATGTTATTCACTGTTCTGGGGTGAATTGTGTGTGGCCCCCCGCCAAATACATTTATATGTTAAAGACCCAAGTCCTAAACCCCAGCACCTGCGAGCACTTGTATTTGGGAGAGGCCTTTAAGGAGGGGGTCATGCCCTGGCTGGTGTGGCTCAGTGGATGGAGCGCAGCCTGGGGACTGAAGGGTCCCGGGTTCAATTCCAGTCAGGGGCACAGGCCGGGTTGCGGGCTTGGTCCCCATAGTGGGGGTGGGGGGGGGCGTGCAGGAGGCGGCCGATCGATGATTCTCTCTCATCATTGATGTTTACATCACACTCTCTCTCTCCCCCTTCCTCTCTGAAATCAATAAAAATATATTTAAAAAATAAAAAATAAAGAGGGGGTCATGGCAAAATGAGGTCATGTGGGCAGAGAGACTGCTGGCTGTCCCTGGAGTGTCCGGGGCACCTCGGTTACAAATAACTGGACAACGAAAGGGAAGAGCGTGACCGGAGAGGGAACGGGACCCAGGGGCGTGAGGGCGGGGTCCTCCCCGGAATAAGGTGTGTCTCAGCACAGTCACCCCTTCCGGCCAGGGCCCTGGAAGGTGATGCCCTGTGGTTTGCTGGAGAAGGCAGCAGAGTACCTCCCTCCAAGCTCTTTAGAAAGTAATTAAAATATAAGCTTTAGGCCTTTTGAAAGAGTTACATTTTAGCCTAGAAAAGTCCCTCCTTTCTCGTACCCGCCCGCCCCCCAACCAGCCCCAGGATGCCATGTGACTGCAAATGTCCCGCGGGAGTCCCTGCCCCTCCAGCAGAGCAGGCTGCAACGCTCCACAATCGCTTGTCCCGCCCCCTTCGTGTCCCCTCCTGGTGGCATCTCCTGCCATCCTGTGCCCCACTCGCAGGCCTGGCTGGTTTAAAAGGAGCATCGCTGCCCAGCCGGCGTGACCCAGTGGTTGAGCGTTGATCTGTGAACCAAGAGGTCACGGTTCGATTCCCAGTCCAGGCACATGCCCGGGTTTCGGGCTCGATCCCAGGAGGCAGCCGATCCAAGCGAGCCATCCCTCCAGGGGACCTCCCAGGTCTCCCAGCGTCACCGGCTGCCTCCCGTCCCTCTGTCCCCCGTTTCCATCGGTGCTGGTCACAGCTGCACTCGCACGCAGGGCCTGAGTGCCCGGGGGACAAGGCTGTGTCTTCTTTATCTCGGTACTTAGAGGAGCCTGCCTTGCTCAAGTACGCCGTGAGAACACAGCAACATCACGTAACATAATCTCAAACAAGCTGATAAACGATGACGGCAAAGAGAAGAACTGTTCCCTTGAAAAGGGCGTTTCTCACGTGGCCACCAGGATTACAGGAGGCAGCCGATCCAAGATTCTCCCTCATCATTGATGTTTCTATTTCTCTCTCCCTCTCCCCTGCTCTCTGAAATCAATAAAAAACATATCTATTTTTTTTTAAAAAAAGAACACGGCTGGCATTCTCTCAGCTGCCGTCATGGCACCGTCTCCTGCCTCAATGGCAGCAAAGCAGCCAGTCGGAGGGAGACGTGGCCACAGGGCCAGCGACCGAGCACCCAGGGGCTGTCACGTAACATAATCTCAAACAAGCTGATAAACGATGATGACGGCAAAGAGAAAAACTGTTCCCTTGAAAAGGGCGTTTCTCACGTGGCCACCAGGATTACGGACGGGACTGATTCCTTACCGTGGGGGTGTTAGGGCCCCTGACCCCTGCGTGCTGAATGCCAGTCTCTGAAACAACGGAAAATGCCCCCGTACATTCTGCACACCTGCTGCTGAGAACCTCTGGGTAAGTCTCTGAAAACAGTGTCTTCCCGGTCGTAGTATCATACAGTGTCGTGTGTGTGTGTGTGTGTGTGTGTGTGTGTGTGTGTGTTTCCATATTCTAGTTACGTTAGCACATAAACAAACAGAGAAGGAGATAGAAACCGAACCATGATCGATGGCTATCTTGGAAATTTCTGATTACAGGGCCCTTCATTATCTAGAGAATATATTTCTGTAGATTTTGAGTTTTAATGGTGAATTATGTACTTTTTTCCCTCTCTATATATTTTTATTGATTTCCGGGAGGAAGGGAGAGAGAGAGATAGAAACATGAATGATGAGAGAGAATCACTGATCGGCTGCCTCCTGCACGGCCCCCACTGGGGATGGAGCCCACAACCTGAGCATGTGCTGGACCGGGAATCGAACCGTGACCTCCTGGTTCATAGGTCGACGCTCAGCCACTGAGCCACGCTGTGAGATGGTGAGAAGGGTGGTCCACAACCACAGAAGCCACATCCACTGGGAGTCAGCCCTGTGCTCTTTAATCGGTGAGAGCCTCGGGCCACCGAGCAGAGGAGAAAACCAGCCAGTATGACACTGAT